AGCTTAACGCTTAAAACAGTCAGTGGCCGTAGCTAGGATTTGTTTGCGTGGGGGGGCGGCACGTGCGGGGGCCTTACATTTCGGGGGGGCGCACAATATATACACTTTTCTTTGTATGTATATGCGTCTAAATGTGGCAGTTTTAATTCAATTTTTTTTTATCAAGCATGAATTTGTCAGTGGGGGGCACACGTGGCGGCGGCGGCACAGAAATATGTGGGGGGGGCACGTCGGGCGGGAAATTTACATCAAATTGCAGACTAGAAATAATAGTCAAATTCCGAAGGCCTAAAGTCTACTTTACAAACAGAGGTTATGATCTATTATACTTGCATAGTCGTTAGCTATTTGTTAGTAGCACGACTTCCTAAGAATTCAGCTGACGAGTTTGCAGTTGGACGTTCCGGCTGGGACAGCACATAAGATTTCATACCAATTTCGCACTGTCGGGCGCGATTTGCCTAGAATCGCAGCCAAGTTTGGCATGAACAAGCGAATGTCGACTGGCTAACTTGGCTTACACCCTGGTCATTCGCGATTCTTCCTGTCAGCATAAGAGAATCGACTTCCTGAGAGAAAAATCTCAGCGACACTGCAGAAGCTGTGAACTACCTAGTGTACGACACATCATATAGCTCGACACAATTACTAGGGTATAGATCACTCATTAGCGTCCTGGTGTGTCGCCTCTGTCACACCTGTAAGAGAGGCATATCGTGGCTTAACATCCTTCTGAAAATAGACCTTTGCGGACTATTCTGTGTCACACTCTATATTTATCTATTATGAGGCAGACTTACGACGGTGTATCGAACTCGGTCGTTCACTGTTAGCACGGATATCGACATTGAAAATGTTGTCAGCAAGATAAGTATTGCTGATCGAATCTCTTTGATCCATCCGGCGAAGGCTGTTTCCCCCGATAGGGACACTCAGCCAAATCAGACGAGCCGCACTTGTAGTGCTCTCTGTACACACAGATCGGGGGAGATATAGATTACACAGAGTGAATTTTCTGTGGTAGGAGGGTATTAGAATGACTGGTGGACCCATAAGTGTGGAGCCGAGTGTGCGCTTAACCCAGGTCGTTTGTTCGGCTATGTGTATGTAAATGAGGGTTTATGTCATAGGTCAATATGTATGACAGTCTTCGTGTGTGTGTAGTGAAGGTTACAGTAGGTACGCTACAGTCTGTGTGGGTGAAGGTTACTACGGACCGTTATAATAGTTTGTGTGCACTATGTTTACTCAGGATCTCGTGGTGGTGATTGTGATAAGGAGTTAACATAGGCTAGTATTGGCTACAGGTCTGTGATGGGTGAGATGTAAGGGTTACAAATATGAGATAGTAGACATGTGGTATAGCATGACCGGTCTGGTATGGTGGATTGAGAGTGTTATATCTGATAAGGGTAGATCTGATTTTGTCTGATCAGTTTTGTGGTGTGGACGAGTTGAAGTGGTTACATAGGAGAAAAGATTATAAAAAGAGAGATTCGTTTTGATTGTTATTTTTTATGCAAATCGGGATTATCATAAGTTTTATGAAGACCTAAACCATGGTCGCTGGTGGAGTGTACAGGGTTAGAATCAGTAGAGCCACATGGTTTACAAGTGGGTGGACGTGACGGGTTAACATAGGTAGAAGCTCAGTCTGTGGTGCAAGTGAGGGGCTAACATAGGTACCGAGCCTACCGATGATAAAACGACGTATAATGATTGATCATGACATCAACTAATTCAAACGAGTAAGAAATAATACATCTCAGCTATGATGAAGAATGGAAAGTGAAAAGCTCCAACCATCAAGTGTAGTATAGCGACTACAGGTCTGTGGTGGAGTGACTAATTACTAAAGTATGAGCGTAATGAGAACGTGTCTATGTGATGTGAGATGATGACTAAAGGGAATATCAATATTGATGAGTTAGATACGAGCTACAGTCTGTGGGTGGTAGTTAAGGGACACAATGTGAAGTGCAACCGTCTACACTATAATCAATGATGAGGATCTGTATTGAAATAGGACTAAATTAATAGGTAGATCATCTACAGTCTAGTGATGTTGGTATGTGTTCACCGCGTTATAGGATAGACGAGCTACCGGTCTGTGGCGGACGTGATGTATTACTATAGGTAGACGCTAAACAGGTTACGTGTTGGGTGAAGGACTTACAAATACACGAGCCTACAGGTCTCGTGTGGAGTGAAGGTTTATATAAGGGTAGCGCTACAAGTCTGCATGGGTAGAGAGTGCAGCTTAACAATAGTAGAGCTACAAGTCTGTGGGTGGAGTGAGGGGTTACATAGGTAGAGCTACAGGTATGTGGTAGAGTGAAGGGTTACATAGGTAGAGCTACAGGTCTGTGGTGGAGTGAAGGGTCACAGAGCTATCTGTCAGAGATCAACCATATTAGAACTAAAACTTGACAAGTCACATTCATCTGCTTTTTAACGGTTAAGTAATGCAAACCTGTTGACCCTTGTGCTTGGGACACACTATGCGATTTTTCAGGCGATTGAGTCACCTGATGGAGTCGCCGGCGAATGAGTCTGGCGACTGAGTGGACACACTAAGCGAATATCAGCGCGATTCATAGGCGATTTTTCTCCCGCTGCAACACTAAAACGCTCGTGCCACCTAGATTGATAGTCACATGATTGAAAATGGCACCGTTTGATTGGCTGATGAATTGTACATTCGGGCGACTCATTCGCCGACCCGGACACACTAGCCGATTGTAGTCGCGCGACTGAAATAATCGCCTGATTTTATCAAACATACTTGATTAACGCGACTCAGTCGCCCGACTCGAAAATCGGTGGCGACTGACTGGACACACTAGGCGATTGAGTCGGGCTACAGAGTCGCCGGTGAAAATCGCCTAGTGTGTCCGGAGCTTAACACAATACATTTACAATTTATAAATTCCTTTACGTTTTATGTATTTTGTATGGCAACTTTTGAAAAGGCCTATTTGTTTGAACTCATAACTAGAAAACACAATCACTTTCTATCAATCCTTCTTCATCCTCTTGAACCTGCCTCATCAATATATCTTTCTTAAACTGATATTAGTTTTACTGATAATCACCACTATTGATATTGTAAAATTATTGCAATCAATTTCAATACACGTTTATATTTTTGCCAATTTATACTGACGCTGTAATAAACACAATCACCTAGTATTAATTTTCAACTCAACAAATGAGAATTATAATTAGCTCTACTCTGCATATATATATATTTATCTGAACAGAGTGCTCAGTAGTAAGTCGTAGAATGTGAACGGCATCACTGGAAAATAATCAGGTGTCTTGCATGATACAACTGCTATATGATATCAGGAGTACATAATAGGGAGTCCCTATTATGTACTCCTGATGATATACATCAAACTCACGTAGAAAAAGGATTCAGTAATTCACATATTGAAAATGTAAACTTTATTTGCTCCAACGGCTGAATATTTAAAATAACCGTTATATTTAATCAAAATTTATAAATTTAATCAAAGTTTATGACAAAAAATAAAGAATTTGTGAATGAAAAGACAAATGTTTTAAAAGTACTTTTAACTATTTTCATACAAATATGGAATATAACATTTTGATATAATGTAATTTTCAGAAAGAATTTTTAGAAAGCATGAGTTGATTAGACCTATTTGCATGTAAAGCATTTCTAGCAAGCTATTTTTAGGATTTTATCTCGGTCATTACAAAGCTACAATCTCTCAAAACCAAGTTTGCTTCAAATTTCAAAAGCAAGCTTGCAATTCAAAGGAATATTATGTTTACAATTCCTTTGCACAACCCTTCTGTACATATAGTAAGTAACTGGCATTAGGTGGGCAAATGTGCATTATAAATATTAAGCACTACGACAAATAGCGATAAATTATATAAAATAATTTTAAAACAGCCAAATCTCAAATAAGACCACAGCTATAGGCAACAACCAATTGGCAGATCATTTTGAGCAATTCCATCTCCCTGTACGCTCCGCACAAAAATAATCTATTCTTTTGGCACCGCACCAGAGCAATCGTAACGTCCTTGGTCGATCAATCACTGTTGTCGATCGAGGAGGAAAGCGTACAATTTTCACAAAATATTACTAAGATTGAGATGTAGATGCTTTTCCTCTGTAGATACGTTACTTCGCCGAGAGAAGCTGTCCGCTATTCACGTATCACTAAAGCCTAGCGCAGACTTGCGACTTTTGGTTGCTCGTCGCTGCAACCTGCAACCGCATGCGATCGGTCGCACACTTCACCATGTGTGCGCATGCAAGCGACTTCTAAGCTTAACGCTTAAACCAGTTTGATTTCTTGCAACTCGTTACAAGCGACCAGAATCGCTACGAGTTGCAGTTGCACGTTCCCGCAGACATAGCGATTTCACAGCAATTTCGCAGTAAATCGCAGCCAAGTTGCACGAAAAAGTCGCAAGTCTGCGCTAGGCTTTACCTGTCCTCCGATTTTCCTGTCACGCAATGAAGAGAATCGACCTTGAAATCCACCGCAAAGTTGTCGCCTAGTTGTCCATCCATGCCTGACACCATGTGGCGCGCTCGTCTTGGAGGGTTTGTGCACGTCACAAGCTCTAACTAACGTCTGCAACCAACGTCAGCATCCTCATGTCTGCATACTAGGCTGTTTGCGAAACTGTTTGATTTGCATATCGCTCACAGAGGTTGAACCCCTTCCTCACTCCACGTGACGGCGTGCGGAGGGTTTGTGCACGTCACAAGCTCCAACTAACGTCGGTATCATTACGCACAGACTAAGAACAGAGCTAAGCTCTTTGTCGACGTTTTAAGCCCGGTATCCCGAGTTCTCGCACAGCACGATGGATCGATCGTAGACATGCTGTCGTCGTCAGTGTCTGACGATTGCCACGACGTCACGTCCGTACAAAATGCAGCTCTTCTCTCACGCGTGCGTGACCGTCGCTGCTGCGTGCGCTCCGAGCGAATTCTCATTCATTCTCGCTCAGCCGTCCGTCGCATCGCCGCCCTCTCTGGCTCTCCTCTCCTGCCCGCCCGCTCCCTCTCCCTCCGACGCAGCTTCCCGGGATTCTCCCTCGATGGCGCCACCGTCCGTCTCCGCCGCGCAGAACCAGTCGCCGTTCATCGTCGTAACGAGTCGCTCGCACGACTCCGTCAGCGACGCTGCCTCCTCCGCCTCGAGACACGACTCCGTCAGCGACGCTGCCTCCTCCGCCTCGAGACACGACTCCGTCGCCGAGTCACAGGACTGTGGCGACGCCGCCGCGCACGCTGGTGCCCCCGCCCCCGCCGCGACCCTCGGCCGCAACTCCAACGCCAGCGCCTCCACGCTGCGCGACGGCTTCTCCGCGGCGCCCCCTACCGGCGGCGGCGCGAGTCCGCGGACGTCGTTCGTCGTGGAGGATGCGGCGAGGCGTCCGATGGCGCGGCGGGGGCGCGACCGTGCAGGGGTCGCGGGGTCAACCTCGTCGGCCGTCCGCACGCCGACCGCCTTCAGCACGACGTGCAGCTTTTTGATGTAGTCGCGGTGACCGTTGACGACGTCGCTCAGGTTGACGTTGTGCATGCGGCGATCCTCCCAGTCGATCGGACCCAGGCCTGCCACCTGGTGGAGGATGAGAGTATGAAGCGCGAGAGCAAATCAAATGCCAGCGTAATGTCTTAATCTAGTCTGCGTCAAGGTGGTTGGAAGAATATGAAGGTGAGGGTAATAGGATATTAAGTACGATCGTGCGTATCTAATGTCTTTATCAAGTATGCATCAGGATGGTTTGGGGAACATAAAGGTGAGTGCAATGGGAAACTAAGTACCATTGTATATGTCTAGGCCACAATTAAAAAAATCTTTGTTTGCCCTCACCCGACCCAGACTGAAAAGTTTGGGTAGGTAGGTAGGCTTTTTTTTAAGGCGGTCTTTTTACAATTCAGCATGGTGTCTACATGCTCGGGTGTGCTTGTGTGGAGATACCCTTGATGTTGAATGTTTGTTTTGCTTGGTGCATATAATGTAATGCCTACAGATTTATATAATGTGCAAAAAAAGATCAATAAATTTTTTGGATTCGGCCCCTTTTTGGTGGGTCGGTCGGGTGAGGGCAAACAAACAATATTGTTTATTATGGCCCAATGGGAAATTAAGTACCATCGTACGTATCTATAAATGTCTTTATCAAGTATGCATCAAGACGATTTCAAGAATGTGAAGGTGAGCGTAACATGTTACTAACGTCTTAAAGAGATGGTTTGAAGAATGTGAAGGTAAGTGTAATATGAAATTAAGTACCAACGTATGTGTCTACTATCTTAATCTAGTATGCATGGAGGTGGTTTTAAGACTATAAAGGTGAGTGTAATGGGAAATTAAGTCCCATCGTATATGTCTACTATCTTGCTGATATTGCTTTTGCTATAGATCTATATATGTATGTTGCTATTGATATATATATATATATATATATATATATATATATATACATGCTATTGCTGCAGACGGACCCAACGCCTCACCTTCATCGACGTCGTCGTCGTCCTGTAGAGAAACTTGAGCAGCCAGTCGCCGCTGCAGTACCCGTTGACGATGCGCCCGCTCACGACCCTCGCCAGGGGGCGCCAGCGCTCGACGTCGCCTGGCGCGGGCGCGCCGAGCAGCACCACCTCGTCGACGATCCCCTCGGTGCCGCGGCGGCGCTCCAGCTCCTGCAGGCACGCGAAGATGACGCTCGCTCCGAGCGAAAACCCGACGAGGGTCACGGGACGGCTCCCGTGCTCCCGCTCCGCCAGCACGTCCGCGAGTTGGCGTCCGACCGCGGCGCTGCGCTGCAGGCACACGCTCCACGGGTTGTCGATGAGGGAGGAGAGGGAGATGAGGGAGGTGGGCCACGCGACCGCGGCGAGCACCGACGACAGGATCGTGTAGCGCAGCGACTCCTGCACGGCGACGCCGACGCCGAAGCGGACGAGGTAGTCGATCGCGGAGCCGAGTCGCGCGAGATGCTGCGACTCCCAGCAGAGGCAGTACTGCTCCGTCGAGTCGAGCAGCGACGACCACGGCGCGCGAAACGCGTTCCCCATCCCATCGTCCGCCGCCGCGGCATCGGGCGTGGCGCCGGTGGCGGTGGCGTCGTCGGCGAGCCAGCCGGAGACGGCGACGGCGACGTGCAGAGCGGCGCCCTCTGTGAGCACCTGGAAGCGGAACTCCTCGACGGCGCCGACGCGTCGCCGCATCTTGTACCCGGTCAGCCCGGCGCCGGCGACGCCGAACAACGACCCGATGACGGCCACACCGGCAGTCGACGCGAGTGCGGTGGCGCCGGCGGTGCCGACGATCGCCCCGGCCCCCGCTGCGAGTAGCGGCGCCGCGAGACCGCCCGTCAGTCCCAGGAGGGCGCCACCGGCGAGGCCGCCGAGTCCGATCGCCAGGTAGCGCCGCGCGGTGCGCCCGCGCTCCCGCCGCCGCCGCTCCCGCCGCTCCTCGTCCGTCGCCGCCGCCGACGAGAACTCGCGGAGTCGCTCGACGACCGCGCTTTCGACGGCGTCGAGCGTTGCCGCGGCGACGCGCAGTAGCATGGCGATGTGGCGGACGAGCGCGCGGAAGCGGGCGTCGTACGCGCCGTCGCGCACCGCGAGTCGCACGAGGTCGTCGACGACGACGCGGCCGTCGCCGAGGTGACGCACCGACGGCTCGGCGAGCACCGCGGCGACGAACGCGTCGCTCGTCTCGCCGCCGTCGCCGTCGGCGATGTGTCGCATCGCGTTGTGGATCTGCGCGGGAAGCTGCAGGTGGCGGACGACCTTCGCGAGGCAGTCGGCGCGGAAGTCGTCGAACCAGCGCTCGGGGAAGAGTTCGTGCAGCGTCATCGCACAGAGGGCGCCGTACGCAAACAGTCCCGCGTCCGTCAGGCCGTCGGCGACGTGCGACAGCTCTATCGCGTCGCCGTCGTCACGGGCGGCGGCGGCGGCAGCCATGATGGCCTCTTGTCGTCTATTGTCAACTTGCGTTGTCAAGGTTGTAAGCGACAAAGCCAATTTAAAGTTCGTACACTGAGGTAACTATAAGTCGAATCGCGAACCCTGTGAGCTTTCGTTAACTACCGAGAGCCGTGACGGCCTCTTGTCGTTTGTCCTCTTGTTGTTCCTCTCACATCAACTTGAGTCGCTTGCTAAACAGAATGTTTTTTAGTCGTCACTAACGAGAAGGTTACAGACGACGAAGCCGATTCAAAGTTCGGACGTGGTGGCCATGGCAGCGGTGCAGTCTCGCAGGTCTGTCCGTCCTTAACTTGTGTCGCTAGATGATAAGGTTGCACGTGACGAAGACAATTAATGTTTGTACGTGCCAAGTCATGTCGCAAATCATGTGTGCTCCCGTCAACTGCCGAGAGTAGTAGGGCCCAGGCCTAGTTTAGCACGGGTCCCGGATTAGTTTAGCACATATGCGAAAAACACATTTGCGGGGTCCCAAACTATCTTTGATCCAGTAGTAGCGCCACTACTGATGTAAGTGAGCGATTGTATAGCTATGCTAGTTATTATATACTATGTCGCGATAGCTATTGTACGAAGGTTCTAAGACATGTAGATGTTCTAATGTGTAGTGCTACTCTAGACAGTCGCTTACTATGTTATATTATTTACAGTGTTGTTACTCGAGCAATAATGCCATCGTAAAATTGGGAGAAACACGAGACCAATTAGAAATTATTTTTGGAAATCCTAGCTTTACGTTAATTACCTTCTTTGAGATATAAGTATTTTCATTTTTTTCAGCAGTTCAATCAGTTTTAATTTTAATATAGGTAGAAGACAAATCTACTCTAAATGGTTTGGTTTCCGGCTGCATAAATATTAAATAACGTAAATTGACGTTAATCTTGCAGCTTGGACGGGTTATGTAACATCCTGCATAACCCTTTTGCAGAGGGAAGGGCTACATAGTACATGGTTAGAAATAGGCAAGGTGCAGTAGCCAGTAATTAATGCAGTATTACTAGTAATATTACTATTAGTATTAGTACTTAGTACTTACTACTTAGTGTTAGTTCAGTTGGTCAAGAATGACAAGATTGGACCTACTAACTAGGGCTGAGAGGGTCTATGTCCCCCAGGGTACTGCCGGAACGTACCCTGGGTACAGTCCGGTACACCGGAACGTACCCTGGTACTATCTAATATGCCGGACCGTACCTCGCCTACTCCACTAACGAGTCTAGGGAGTCGCATAAGCCTACTCCCTAACCCTAACCCTAACCATATCAGATAGTTACCAGGGTACGTTCCGGTATACTGGACCGTACCCAGGGTACGTTCCGGCAGTAACCTGGGGGACATAGTCTAGACCCTATGAGCCTAACTAGGGCTGAGAGGGTCTATGTCCCCCAGGGTACTGCCGGAACGTACCCTCGGTACGGTCCGGTATACTGGAACGGGTACCCTGGTACGGTATGCCGGACGTACCTCGCCTACTCCACTAACGAGTCTAGGGAGTCGCATATGCCTACTCCCTAACCCTAACCCTAACCATATCAAATAGTTACCAGGGTACCGGTACATTCCGGTATACCGGACCGTACCCAGGCCCAGGGTACGTTCCGGCAGTACCCTGGGGGACATAGACCCTATGCCTATAGCTATTAGTCCGCAAATGCAGACGTTATAACTCCGCTTTGCTAATCTGAGGGTGCAGGTTACTGGGGTCTGCGTCGGCTCGGACTAATGAGTAATGCCTAATGTAATGCCATGGCTATGAGTATGAGCCCCGGCCCCCCCACTCCGAGGTCGCGTGCGCGTTCCCAAAATCTCCGGTAAAGGGGTATTTTTCGCGCGACAAAATCCGGCCCAAGAATTGTAAAAAAGGGGGTGTATTTGACTTTTCACCCGGAGATTTCGTTAATAAGGGGGTGATTTTCCTCTCTCTCTTTCATCTTGAATATCATAGAAAACTTTAATTATCAAATCCCAGAATCAAATTCCTGAAATTCCTGCTAGTTTTGAAAGCTCATTCAGGATTATTTCATTTTGAAAAGTAAAAATATTGCCCCCTAGTTCCCCTCGATCACTGAACTCTACACTACCTAGTGTAGACTGGTACCCGGTCGACAGTTCCACACGCTACACTAACGTCACTACGTCAGTGCCTTGCGTCAGTGTAGCGAAGGATCAGTGCGAAGGATACGTACCGCAGTGAAGGTGGCGAACGGGTACATGCAGTCTATACGTAGTGTAGAGTTCGGTGCCATCTATCGACTCGATAGTACAGACTTCTCGAAATCTGTAATAGAGATAACAACAGAACGTGTACATGGGATACGGCTTCTGCTCAGCAAGATGGTGCTTAACAAGCGTCGTGTACGACGTCGTGGAACCTGCCAAAATTGTGAAAAAGGGAATAGGGGGTACATTGAGCAGTGTTCAGGATTTAGGGGGTCTCCAAGGTAGGAAAAACCAGCAAAAAGCCCGCGAAAGGCGGGTTCAGAAATTTTGGCAGTCCTGAGATAGGGGGGTGCTTTCAAAGGGAGGGAACGAGCATATGCGTACCTTCAATAACACTGAGTGGGGGGGGGGTACTTAAAAAAAGTTAAAAGTTAAATAAAACTAGGTTACAAACGTATTTTAATTTGTCATCATCGGCTGTAATTGCAAACAGAAGCTATAATCACTAGTAAACACAAAACACGAAATCAAAATTGTCAAATTCAATAGAGATCGGAAACAAGAATGTAAACATCAACTGTAAAGTAGTTACCAGCTGGAATGCTTCGCACGTACACATGCATTACCGGAAGTGAATCTCTGACCGGAAGCGCTAGCCTTTTGGAATAGATACGCTTAGATGGCGCGCACAGTTAAACATGTCAGCTTACATGAAGTTTCCTCGCGTTATTCAATTTAGTTGTTTTCTTTGCGAAAACCGAGTGTCGACTCTGAAGAGTATACTAAGAACGTTGAAAAGATGCAAACACACAAACAGCTGGAAAAATATAGCATCTGCCGAAGTAGAAATTCCACTGGGTGGCAGGTGAGGTCCCTAACCTTGTGCCGGTAAAGTACAGCCTACAGCCTACGGCTACGGAGTACAGTAGAACTAGGCCTACAGAGTACAGTATAGCTCTAGTAATATATCCCGCGTTCATTAACTGCCGCAGGCCGGCAGCAGGCGCAGCAGCAGCAGCAGCGCTCATAGGGTCTATGTCCCCTAGGGTACTGCCGGAACGTACCCTGGGTACGGTCCGGTATACCGGAACGGAATGCCACTAGGGACAGCGCGTCTCCCAAGTCCGACTCCGGGGAGAGATAGTGATCCGCTAGATGGCGCATTATTAATTAACAATTAATAGAATCAGTTAACTCTAACCCTAACCGGGCTAACCCTAACCCTAACCCTAACCCTAACCCTATCCCTAATTCAAAATAATAATAATAATCACACACAGGCCCTTTAGGGAGAGAATTCGGTACCTTGGGAGACGCGCTGTCCCTATAGTCGCAGCCTACCGGAACGTACCCTGGTCACTATTTGATATGGTTAGGGTTAGGGTTAGGGTTACGGCGAGGTACGGTCCGGCATATTAGATAGTACCAGGGTACGTTTTGGCAGTACCCCGGGGGACATAGACCCTCTCAGCAGCAGCAGCAGCGCGGCAGCAGACAGCAGGCAGGCCGCGAAATTTTTTTTCCCACGAGAGTTCCGGACCCACCATAGATTATGGTTCGTATGATGGTTCGTATATATGGTTGGATTATAGTTAGTGTTAGGGTTCGGGTTCGGGTTCGGGTTAGGGGATGGGGGGTTCGTATTCATTTTACATTGTTGCTTCGAGGAAGTCGAATGAATGGAGTGCGCTGATTGGCTGTGGTCCGGAACTCTCGTGGGGGAAAAAATTTCACAGGCGGGCAGGCAGTTAATGAACGCGGGCTATAGTACTAGAGCTAAGTACAGTACAACTACAAAGTACAAGTACTAGTAGTAGTAATAGTAACACTAATACTAGTACAAGTAGTTGAAGTACTAGTAGTAGTAATAGTAACACTAATACTTAGCTAGTACAAGTAGTTGAAGTACTGAAGTAGTACAACACTTGAACTATACCTGGTCAATACTAGTATAGCCATGTCACCTAGTCACTACTGCTCATACTACTACTACTAGTAGTAACTACTACTACCTATATACTACTACCTAGGAAACGGTCACATATTAAGAGGCCATTTACTGATTTATAATATTAGGAGGTTATTTAAAAACGTAGATAAGTAAGTTAAAAGTAATTAATAATCAGCCCTCGACACTGACGGTTGTCCGATTGCCCGGGACAAGTGAAACTGAAAGTATGTCGGACAAGTTATTAGCTAGTTGCCCAATTAAACAACTAAAAAATACTAGTTGTTTAATATTCCTAACATCCTTTGAGCCATATAGCGCTATCGCGCGACGTTCTTACATTGTATTTTCAAAGGTCACCAAAAAAAGAGGCCTGCGACACCCGTGTCACCCACTTTTACCATTACAGATTTATTGATAGAGTGCCAGCACGCGCAGCATGGCTGTGCACTTGAATGGGGTGGCATTAGTTGATGTATGGAGGGGGGGAATGTACGATTGTTTCAGTCGCATGGGGCATGTTCATTACTAATATCAGAAGTAGATAATAGGGAAGGAGTGTGACTTCAATATTAACAAGGGAAATTCGTCATTTACTAGCCTTAGAATACCTACGATTTACTACGCGTAACTCAACCAACTTGAGCTCAAATCGTACACAGTATACATTCGCCTAGCATTATCCGAAATCGTTTCCTCGTATACACCCGCAATCCGGAGATACAGACTAAAACGTACGACATGATTCTCAATTCCGTTGCCAGCAAATCGACTCCATAACCCGCCTAACTTAAAACAATAGGCAGCTACTAACGACTCTTGTGCCCTCGGCGACGCGGTGTGGCTTGTTGGGAGATTGGACATCGACGCAACACTTGGCGAGTTAATTCTTGACCTATTTACAGCTGGTATGCCCCCACGCACGCACGCCCACCGCAATCAGCAGCAGCTCCAGCTCCAATCTCCCAGCGAGCCACACCGCATCGCCGAGTTTTATTGTTTGTATAGTTTTTTAGATTAAATTGCAATTATTACGGCTTGCAGAATAAAACTAGATCGGTCGGCATTCGCTTTGATATCTTTGCAGGACATTAAAAATCGGCAGTGGCAAACTTGCAAGATTTTCCGATGGCAGTGCAGTTGCTCAGGTAGGGGTAATTAAATCTATATCTAGTAAAGTATGGAGTAAAGGCTTTGCACCATTTTAATGCTTAACAAAATACTATACAATTTATAGTGTTATTTTGGTTTGATGTTTTGATTTGTTTATTTTGCTAACTATCAATAAATTATTTATACATACGCAATGTGTAAATAAATAAGAGTTTTAAAATCTAGATAATTACCAAGGGTAAATACACAAAAAGTATGATAGGTGCACTGATTAAAAGTTTAGTCTTTAAACATTTCCATTGCAAATATCAATAAAGTCCTGTATATTTTCGTGGCATTTATTTTATAAATTTTGAACCTTTTACTTGATAATATTGTGTTTCTTACTCTACCCTCTAGCTTGGGGAAACCTGTGTAATTGTGACAGCAGTGAGCAAAACAAAACCATCAACCGCCACATTTCTGCCTCTCACTGTAAGTTTAGAGAACCGTCTATTACAGTTAAACCACATTTTCAGTATTATAATCTCTAGTAATGTATTCAGAGTTCACCTGCGTGTAATAAACATTGAAAAAATTAACTTGGCTAATAAGGACTAATTAATCTGGGATTAATTACGCTCGGTGTTAATTTCAATTGAACCGGAAATGGTAATGGTATCGCAGTACTAAGTGGCTAATATGTTAGTGCTCTCTGCCGATTAAATTATTTTGGTAAAACATTTTTTAGGTTGACTATAGGCAGAAGGCTGCAGCGGCAGGGAGAATACCTACAAATTTCTTGAGAAGAGAGTTGGGTGCAAGCGACCAGGAAATCCTTACTGGACGTGCTATAGGTAATGAAGCGCATCAGTATTCTTGTTGAGTTGACCCCAGTAGTGTGTGTGCATGCCTGTGTGTGTGCGTGCGTGCGTGCGTGCGCGTGCGTGTGTGCGTGCATGCATGCGTTAATGTGTGAGTGTCCTTGTGTTTGTGTGTGTGTATCAAGGATTGCAGTGCCTGCGGTGTTTGCTTTGATGTGTGGCAGCATTGATCAATAATGTAATGCGGGTAATGTGGGGTAAATGCCGGGTAGGGGATGTAAGGGAGAAAATCTGATACTGGGAAGCTCCGACCAGATAACAATTTGAGAACGACCCGAGAATATGCAGTGAGACAGTCATTTCAGCAAATTTTGAGTGTGGCAGATAATAAAAACTAGCAAGGCAGCCTGCCTCACTTATCATACACCAGGGGAACACTGATATATATTATATATATACATGTGTTTATGGCAGAAGCGTAGAATTATGATAATGATGATGAATGATGATTGTAATAATAAATAGAAAATTTACATCTAATAGATTTTCTTTCACAATGCTTGCTTTTCGTCCCATGACGCTGCTACTGCTGTTTTCAGATCGGTCGCTGAGGCCTTTATTTCCCGATGGGTACTTTTACGAGACTCAGCTCGTGTGTAACCTGTTGGCAGTGGATGGAGTCAATGATCCAGACGTAGTCAGTATCAACGCAGGTAACCGTCTTATCCAAATACTGCTCAAAGCAGTCGCTGCCAGAGGTTATTTTCTGTTGAAATCTCAATGAATACATATGTACATTATATCAGGAGTAAGTGATCACATATGTGATGTTTTACATTTAATGATTACAATAATTGTGATCAATTGATTACAATAGCTGATTACCATAATTCTGATTACAATACTTTGTGATTATTTACTTCTGATCATAATATGTGTATATCGTAACCATAATCATCTAAATAATCATGATGTAATCATAGGCTAATATTCTGCTTCTAAAACTTGCTTGCATCTAATTTCTAATTAAAGGTCGAATGTGCAATAAGCCTAGTCGTTACAAAAAGTGGCTGGATTTTGCAAACATGAATTTAAAATTACTTCTTTCTTTTGTTTTAGCTTCAGCTGCACTCGCAGTATCTGATATACCATGGGCAGGACCTATTGGTAATACATACGTTTAGTCTGTTGTATAGGGATCACACTACTTATTAGAATAATAACTAGGGTTGGGACGATTCATTGATATATCGATTTATCGCTATACCAACCTCGATCATACATGCATCGATATGTTTGACTATTCATGATACATGATGTATCGATACTCTACTGAATAAAATCCATATTTTCGTAGCTTAGTTTCATAAAAATGAAACGAAGCATGAAACAATTCGCAGCTATTCAATAGCAGTTGTCGACTAAGCATTCACATGATTGGTAGAGTACCGGTTAACTGTGTAGTTTGCTAGGTAGTTTCTCGTGAAAGCATTGCGATATGTATCATATCGTGAGAGGTATCGGGATGCAGATCGTATCGTGATTTACCCGTATCGTCCCACCCTTTACTAATAACCGTTACCAATTGTATCTACAGGAAGTAATGGCTAATTAAACAGTAAATAACATTTTTTGATGTCTGGTGTAGGTAAAAGAATTAACTGTCACATCTATTTTTATATTCATTCTATATTTCCAAACTTGTCTGTTACATTAATTTTCTTCACAAATTAATTAATTGCGTCAATTTGCACATCAATTGCATAAAATTTAATGTGCTTTCCAGGTGCAGTGAGAATGGGAATGGTGGATGGTGAATTGATCGTTAACCCGACGCGTAGACAGTTGGCTCACAGCGCACTCAATCTAGTTGTCACGGGCAGCGGTAACAACAACGTTGGTGAGTGGAGCCGTCCTCGTTTAATCGCCATTGAAGTTCATGCTACTGTCCTAACGTCATCTGTGACAACAGTTCGTGCTACTGTCATAATGTCATACTGTGACATAGGAGTTCATGCTACTGTCCTAACATCATCTCCATGACGACGGTTTGTGCTACTGTCATAATGTCATAATTTGTGTCATACTGTGACATAGATGTTCATGCTACTGTCCTAACGTCATCTCCGTGACGACGGTTTGTGCTACTGTCATAATGTCATAATTTGTGTCATACTGTGACATAGGAGTTCATGCTACTGTCCTAACGTCATCTCTGTGACGACGGTTCGTGCTACTGTCATAATGTCATAATTTGTGTCATACTGTGACATAGGAGTTCATGCTACTGTCATAATGTCATCTCTGTGATGATGGAGAAACATCTAACGTGTCTGACTAGAATATATATCGATGCGCCATCTTTGTTTCGAGTGATGCTTGAGGCGTCGGCCAACAACATTCTGCAGCAGGACTTCCTGAAGGCTATCAAGCGGGGGGAAGAGACGCCAGGCAATCATCTAGGCAGATTCAGAACCTTGCTCAGCAGTGCGGCAAGCCCAAGCGCGTCCCGCAGAAACTTTTCAGGGCCGATCCAACGCTTGTAGAAGCTGCGAGAGTGTGAGTTTATGATGCTAGTTACAGTCTGTAGAAGGCTGCGAGAGTCTGTGAGTGATAATGGAGTTACACTCTTGTATAAAGCCTGATGAGCAGTGGGAAAGTTTAACAATCGAGTTACACACTTGTAGAACTGCACAAGTCAAAGAGTGTGGTTATATGTAGTTACACTCTTGTAGAACTGCAAACCAAGCAGTCGTGAGTCTTTATAGTAGGACACTCTTGTAGCAAGCTGCGAAGCAGTGTGATTTACAATGTACTTACACTCTTGTAGAAGCTGCAAAGCTGCAGAGTGGGAGTTGATAATGTAGTACACTCTGTAGAAGCTGCCACAAGAGTGTGAGTTATATAATTAGTTACACTCTTGACAGCTGCAAAGCTGCAGAGATGTGAGTTATAAGTATGTTACACTCTTGTAGGAGAAGCTGCACAAGAGTGTGAGTTTATAATGATGTAGTTACACTCTTTAGACTCCGGAGAGTGTGGCTTTGTATGTAGTTACACTCTTAGAAGCTGCATAGAGTGTACGTTTATATGCTTAGTTACACACTTGTAAGAAAGCTGCAGAGGGGGCTGAGTTTACAATGTAGTTACACACTTGTAGAAGCTGCAAGAGTGTGGTTTACAATGAGTTACACACTGTGTAGCAAGGCAAGAGTGTGAGTTTACCAATGTTAGACACTCTTGTAGAAGCGCTGAGAGCTGTGAGTTGACAATGTTAGTTACACTCTTGTAGAAGCTGCGAGAGTGTGAGTTTTAAGTATTACACTTCTTGTAGAAGCTGCAAGAGTTGTGAAGTTTATAATGTAGTACACTCTTTGTAAGAAGCTGCGAGGAGTGTGAGTTTATATGTAGTACCACTCTTTTAGAAGCTGCGGCTAGTCTGTGAGTTTATAATGTAAGTACACACTTGTATAAGCCTGCGAGAGCTGCTGAGTTATACAATGTAGTTCACACTCTGTGTAGAGTAAGCCTGTGAGAGTGTGAGTTTACCAATGTAGTTTACACTCTTGCTAGAAGCTGCGAGAGTGTGAGTTTGTAATTTAGTTACACTCTTGTAGAAGCGCGAAAGAGCTGTGAGTTATACTAATGTCAGTATTACACTCTTGGAGAAGCCTGCGGAGAATTAAGTTTATATTGTAGTACACTTTGTAGGCAGCCGCGCAGCTATCAGCTGGCCTTCTCGCGTGGAGAATGTCGCGTGGCATGCTAAATAAAATAATATTAAATAAAAATAATAAAATAATAAAAAATAATAAAAATAAAATAAAATTTAAATAATAAATTTATATAATAAGAAAATAAAATATAATATAGTATAATAATATGAACGTATTCTG